GGATATTCAGAGAGGTGGCTGAATAAAGCCTGCCCTTGCCCTCCTGCCTCTGGTATTCCAAGGAGGTCTCCCATCCAAGTACTTGCCAGAGTTGACCCTGCTCAGCTTCAAGATTGGATGAGATCGGTCTTGCCTGGGTTATCCAGATCAGGGCTACCCATTATCTCTTCATAATGAATCAGTAGCTGGTTCCCTGTCACTCACTGAGTCAAAAGCTGCTTTTTGATATAAATGAAGAAGAGAAGAGATTGGATATATACCCCTCCCTTCACTACCCAAAGGGGTCTCAGAGCGGCTTACAAACTCCTTCCCCCTCCCCACAACAGACACAATGCTCCCTGTAAGCTGTGGAGTCTTGTAAGCAAAATTTCTACTTTGTGAGCTACTGGCATTAAAGTTGTGAGCGAGGGATTTGGCTACTGCATAAATTAGCTTACTCTGGAGCCATCCTTCCTGAGCTAAGACAAAAAAGTTTGAACCAGAGGCTAAAAAATTGTGAGCTAGCTCACACTAACTCAGCTTAGAGGCAACACTGCCTGTGAAGTAGGTGGGGCTGAGAGAGCTCTTTCGAGACTTGCTTTTTCCAGAACAGCTCTGAGAGAACTGTGACTGACCTAAGGCCATGCCAGCAGCTGCATGTGGAGGAGTGGGGAATCAAACCCCGTTCTCCAGATTAGAGCGCGCACTCCTACACCACTACACCAGACTACACCAGACTGGCTCTCTGAAGACTCTCTGCTTACTTCTGGTGTGTTTTTCTATCTTGTGTAACTTCTCTGTCTTGGTCCAGCTGGAGAGCCAGGTTGGTGCTGTGATTGGAACGTCGGACTAGGATCTGGGAGACCCTGGTTCGAATCCCCACTCGTGCCACAGAAACTCGCTGGGTGACCACAGGCCAGTCACACTCTCTCAGCTTAATCTACCTCACAGGGTTGCTGTGAGGATAAAACGGAGGAGAAGGAAATGACATCAGCCACTTTGGGGTCCCCGCTGAGGAGAGAATTGGGGTGTAGATGAAGCAAATAAATTATGTTATCCAGCGGAATCTTTTGTTTACTTTTTCCCAGCAAGGCAGTAAGGATGCCAGATCCAGATTACAGGAACTCTGCATCCTCGCTCAGAGTCATCTGCCCCCACTGAGCTCACTGGCACATTCCCTCTAAGCTAAGAAGCACAGGAGGGGGGCCTGCATTTGTTTGTTCTGGAAGGATGACACACGCCGCGATACCCAGAGGTTTGTGGCTTCACCACTGGTACCTCTGGGTAAGAGGCCGTGATGTTCCAAAATAAATGTCCCCTACCATGAAGCTGCGGTGGCTCAAGTGGTTAAGACACTGAACTGCAGGCTGTGGAAGGTCGGTAGTTCAGCAGTTCAAGGCCCGGGTGTGCCGCATGATGGAGTGAGCTCCCTTCTCTAGTTCCAGCTCCTGCCAACCTAGCAGTTTGAAAGCAAGAAATTGCAAGTAGATAAATAGGTACTACTTTTGTGGGAAGGTAACAGCGTTCCGTGCGCCTTGGTGTTTAGTCATGCCGGCCACATGACCACGGAAACGTCTTCGGACAGCGCTGGCTCTTCGGCTTTGAAACGGAGATGAGCACCGCAACCCTAGAGTCGGACTCGACTGGCTTTCGAGCAAGGGGAACCTTTACTTTTACCTTTACCATGAATAAGTGACGTGGCTTCCCCATAACAGGAATGACACCCCAGGGGGCAACCTTACTGTAATTTTTCTTTTTTTGTGCTGTTGTGATCTAAACTCATTGAAAGAAAAGTAACTGCGTGGATATAAACGTTGACGTCTCTGAACGATTTGGATGAGTCGGTTAGTAACGCTGACTCTTTTTCTAAACTGTCTCTCTTCCGTTATGCCGGGAAATTATCTACTCCCCCATCCATAATTGCCTGGGGGGAGAAAATTGGGATCAGTTCATCGCAGGCAAAATTGCAAACGCCTTAGCTCAAGCTCAAGCCCGTTCCCGGGTGGTTTACACAGAATTCGTGATGACCTGGTCAGCAGCACTACGGCACAGGGCTGAACTGGAGCCTCCTCCCTTCAAATCCAAATGGTCATCATGTGCTTCATTTTTAATGCTGCTTCACCGCTCAGATCGGCTGCTGAGCCTTCTGTTAGTGGGCGGGGCCCCAGGGCTCTACGGTATGTTGCACTCAGTATTGCTGTGTCAGAGTTAACTAACCAAGAATACATTGTATCTTACTTTAAACAGAACTGTATATTATGTTTCATGGCTCTGTCATCTTCTGTAATCTTGTTACTGTTTAAATAAAGTTTAGTAAAAAAAAAAGTATTAAAAATTAAGTTCCCTAGCTGCTTGCCGTGTCGCTACAAAGAGAGGTTCTTTTGCTCATTCTTATGGTAATTTTTTTTCTTTCTCGTACTGCGTTTAGAGTTTAGATCACAACCGTATAATAAGTTGTGGTGAAAGAAATCGAAGGTTGCCATTGGATGCCATTCCTGTTAGTTTACTTCATTTACACTCCTCCTCTCTCCCCAGTGGGGATCAAAGTACAGTGGTTAAGTGCACGGACTCTAATCTGGGAGAATCGGGTTTGATCCCCCACTCCTCCACTTGCAGCTGCTGGATGACCTTGGGCAAGCCATAGTTCTCTCAGAGCTGTTCTTGAAAGAGCAGTTCTCGGGAGAGCTCCCTCAGCCCCGCCTACCTCACAGGGTGTCTGTTGTGGGGAGGGGGAGGGAAAGGAGTTTGTAAGCCGCTCTGAGACTCTGCGTGAAGGGCCGGGTATAAATCCAATCTCTTCTTCTTCTTCTTCTATGTCATTTTCCTCCCCTCCATTTTATCATTGCAACCACCCTATGAGAAGGGTTGTCAGCTACAGGTTGGGAAGCACCTGGAGATTTGGGGGGGTGGAGCCTGAGGAGGGCGGGGTTTGGGGAAGGGAGGGACTCCAATGGGGTATAGGGCCATAGAGTCCACCTTCCGAAGCAGCCATTTCCTCCAGGGGAACTGATCTCTGTTGCCAGGAGATCAGGTGTAATCCCAGGAGATCTCCAGCCACCCCCTGGAGGTTGAAAACCTTACCTGTTAGGCTTATTATTTATTTTTTATCGTATGGCGGAGTTACACACAGGAAGCATACAACAATAAAAAATATGTACCCAAGTTGATACAACAGGTATGCAGACTGATTGGGCAATCCTCCTAAGTACTAATATCTGAATTTTCAGTTTGCTCAGTCACAGCTGGGGAGAGAACAAAGAGCTCTGCCACATCTCCCTGGAAAGCACGATGCTCACATTCCCGTAACAGATGGAAAATAGTTTGGTGGGCTCCACCACAATCACATTTGGGTCCTGGTATTTTGCCCCATTTAAACAACAGGTCTGCACCGCTGCCAAAGCCTGTTCGTATCCTATTAGCCGTCTTCCATACTTTACGTGGCAAGTCAAATCCTGCAGGACTCTCGTCAGTGTTGATCAGGTTATGGCTGTCGGGTGGAACTGATTGCATCCCTGTTTGCAACCGTTCATTCCCGAGATCGAAGTTTTGTGATTGTAGGTCAGGCTAAGTGTGTCAGACTGGCCCAAGGTCACCCAGCAAGCTTCTGTGGGCGG